GCCAGCTCAATTGTAAATTGATGAGCTCTAGATGCCAGTCTATTACTGCGCTTAAATTTTAAAAGTTTAGGTACCATAGCGAAGAGCACACCCGAACAATTCCCATGAAAGTATTTATAGAAGACAGAGAGAGGTAACTTTACGACGGTGGGGAAAGCGACTGAAGCCGAAGCCACACCAGATCAGAACCAATAATAATGATGAAGGAGATCAACGTAAATAGCACGGCCACTGGACCATAAGCATGGACAAAATGGTAGACTTATAGATTTGTAAGATAGATTCTAGATTGAAAAGGCGTCTCACAAGACAAAGTGAAGCAACTTTTTAGCAGCTGATCTGTCAATGGATTCAGTATTGTCTTTCCACTTCATGTCACCTGAGAATGTTAGCCAGAGAAGGCGCAACGAGTCACTTTACAAGAGATTAGCATCAGCCATGCTTATGGAAGGCAAAGAGGGATATCTCAGATGATTAATGGAGAGAAGTTTAGTTTTGAAGACGATAAAATTAAAAAGCCATCTTCTTCCCCATTTAACAACGGATTTGAGGTTGTTTTGGACATCGGCTGCCATTTTAACCTTGTCGGATTGATGAGCCTTACTATTGAGGCAGGAGTAAATGGCTATGTCATCAGCATAGATTCCAAGTTGAGAGCAATTTTTTTCATTTTTTTTTTTAATTTATCTCTGACTTCATTCATTTCTTTTATCGCCTTTCTTTCATTCATTTTTCCGCCATTCTTTCTTTCATCTTTTTTCCCCCAAAAAAATTCAACCACTCTTCTTTACTATGCAACTTCCTTTTACAGGGAATATTTTTGAAGAACCTAAAATCTTTCTTTCCAAGTTCCATGATTGTCGAAAACTGAAAATCACATTAGAAAAAATTCATCTAAATAATTAATTAGTTTTCAATAGACAGCTTATTTAAACAGTTGAATTAAATCATGGTAATAAGAAAATGTCACTGATGTTAGTTTATTTCTCTGCTCTTCAATCGTTTCCGTTAATAAACAATAACGCCAAAGATTCCATTGGGACTGACTCGAGCAAGAATTAGACAATAATCTGCTGCCTTCCCTTGAGAGAGAGAAAGAGAGAAAAGAGAAAGAGCTGACTGCCGACGATGAAATATGAATAAGGTATTATTCCTAATGAAATCATTTTCAGCTATATACACATACCAATAGATAATATATAGACTTAATTACAGACTGAGTTAGTCGCTATCTAGTCGCACAAATACACAGAATGAAGAAAATATTTTCATATTACATATCAATGGTTGCTTTGGTCTGGAAAATGCCAAGCAGGTGGCGATAAAAGTTTTTCTTTCAAATGAAAGAGTTCTTGATATTTTCATTAGGATAAAGATACCAACCAGAACTTCTATTATCATCGTCAGTAACACCATTTCCATCCAGTAACTGTCTAAATTGTGCTTGTAATGATAATGAATTATATTTTTTCAAACATTTTTCTTTATCAAAAACGAACATTTTAGCAATAAAATGGATACTACTTTAAATTATCATTAGAGTGAGATGGCATCACACCAACAAAGTAGAAATATACACATAATAAAGTCCAATATACTCCACATAACTAAATATAACAGGTACATGCATCATAGCCAAATATGTGACAGCTTTTGATAAAAATCAAGAAATTAAATAAATCGTGGCTCTTATACTCCTGATGGGTTTTGAAATGTTTCGTTATTGGGGTCCTCGCCAGAGATCGTTCCTCTATCAGATCTAGACATTCAGTTTTATCGGCACTTGGAAGCCAGGTGATGTCTCATTTAATGTGGTCATATACTGATGTAAGGTAAACATAGCAAGTAGTCAATTTAGTGAAATAGATCTGGTCTCCTAACTTGGATTGAGTGACCCTTTTAGATTCCATTGTTCCATAGAAATATTTTTCTATTCCTGAAAGCAGTTTCTGCTTTATACATATCAATTGCCAAGCATCATTCAATACAATTTGTTTGCCCAATTCTCAGTGGATTGCCCTTCCCAATCGCCATTACTTTTGTATTTCTTCCGAGTCAATTTGTTATATTCTTTTCATTATAAATTGATTTCGGTACATTCTACATTTCTTACTCTTGGTAATAGCAGCATTTTCTTTGATTTTTATTTACACTTATGCATAGCATACTCCAGGGCTAAAGGAATACATTTTAACAGACTGGGAAAAATACAAATTTTATGTAATAATAATGTTCGGTGTAGGGAACCTTATGCAAACAAGCAAGACTAAATTATACGCTTAAGAATGTCAAAGAGGAATATTTCAGGGTGATTATTTTTCCTTTATTCTTAGTGTTTGCTCTGATACCATTATCAATGGTTTTAAAGAAAGTAAAAATCAGATACACCTTGGATAAGGACAAGCTGGAGATTGCCATCACCCATTTCCTTTTATGGATGAGTCGGATTGAATCATTGGTGCAAATGGTAAATATCTATTGCAAGTATGGGATATTCGAACTGATGATTTAAAAGAGAAAGGCCTTACTAATAGAGATTGAATTACAAGAGAAACTATCACTGAACTGATTACAGGTATATACATAAAATGTTTACGAATACTTCTGAAGTTCAAGTTGAATGCTTGTAATCTTATAATGACTGACTGGATCTGTGTTAAGGCATAAAATCTAAAGAAGAATCCACTTTTTAGGTGGTCCTGATTTGGTATCTCGGCTTCAATCATTTCTCACCGCCGTAATATAGCTTCCTTGTGCCTTTTGTATATATACACTTTTCATGGTAATTGTTCTGATAAACTGTCCTTATATGAGTTTAAGCGCAACAAAGTTTCATTAATTTACAGTTATATTGGCTAGATGCATCTGTAAGTTCTATGTTAAAAGTTTATTCTTGCATAGTTCTCGCTAGTGGAGCCCTCTTCCGTCTTCATGCTTTCCAACCAACTATGATCTTGAAAATGTAAATGCAATGTTATCTACTGTCGTCTTGATTTCTCTTTTATTGTTCTCTTTCCTTAATACTATTTCTTTTTTTCTTAATTTTTCATACTAAATAAATCTTTGTGTCACCGTGACTTTAGTACCTTGCCTGAGAAGAAATGGTAGGGGACTGATACGAAAAGAGATTATATATAAAGACACAACCACAGCACTTGAAATATTTCTGGGACTAATAAATACTGGTTCACCAGCATACATTAACTAAAAATGTATATTTAAAAATTAAAGAGGCTAAAAATTCAAACAATGGTTTCAACTAGGATAAAATTAAATAGAAACAAAATTCCAACAAAAGAGGCAAAAAAAAGTCCAAACCAACTTGAAAAGCGAGTAGGAAGGAAAAAACTCTTACCTACTCTATATACCGATTGATATTTAGAGAATTCCGGAATATCAGTGGTTTTGAAGCCAAGAAAACAAGCATATATTTTCAGAAATTAAATAAACCAAAAGAGCCGTTTCTGGATGGACAATTGATCATCTTATATTTGACTGATCAAAGTCAATCTAAAAATAAGTATATGTAGGTCAATAACTTAATTGAAATATATGCTAATATTATATACTATTCTAAACAGAAAGATATTATGAACGGAAATTAAGAACAGTTTTAAGAGGATTATGGTGTCAATTTACTCTGGGAATTTATCATATTACTGGTTCATGTTTGTAACTGACTTGACACAGATTTAAAAGCGTGTTTAATTATGACACTGTACAAATCTTCGTGTCAGTTTCTTTGTTAATGAAAGAAAAGCGAAAGAATCTAAATGAAGCTAGAAATAATAAAGTCCATGAATTGATTAATTTGTAATATTTGACTTTGAAATGATACAACACAAATATATCAATGTGTATGCGTATATATATGAAAACCCTTATATTATTTAATTCCACGTCACTTCAGGACGTAAATGGTCAAGGCTCTCCATAGACACTTTCTTGTTTGCATTAGCGAATTGCCATGATTTCTTGAGAGAAACGGTGAAGTGGTTTCCGTTGCATTTTCCCACTACATTTTTGCATGTACAATGAAATTATATGTCAGAATACAGATACATATTCTTAACATGAATAGCCATAACAGAAAACCATGGCGCAGCCACTAATAAATAGCTTAATAGAGTAGATGGCTAATGACTGCATTATTGCTATTGTGTGTGTGTGTGTGTTGTGTGTGTGTGTGTGAGAGAGAGAGAGAGTGTGTGTGTGAAATGTGTAAAGTTCGTAAAGTTATGTGTCTATAGCCCCATTTCACTGAGACAAGAATTTATATTAGAATTATCGATCAGTTCGTAATCCCTCATTTTCCCAGCAGATGAAAACATTTTGCATACATGATTATTTTGATAGATAAATTGATGTATACGAATCTATATAGAGAGAGATAGACAAAGAGTGATATGAAGATAGATAGATGTGCGTTACTTCTAACAAGAATTATATTTTCTTCCTTTTCATTTCATTATTGAATCTCTATAAAAAAAAAACCTCTTAATTTTAAAACAAATCTCCTCGTTACAGAAAGATAAAACTTTGAACGAGCTTCATGAATTATTCATTCAATTTCGACGATACGCCCTCTGATTTTGAAATAGTTTTTGATAAATATCTTGTACTTATTTTGTGTGCCCTTATCTAAGGAGCGAAACATTTCTTCATTCAACCGATAAAATATTTATACTTAACTTTTCTTTCAGCTAAAAGCTATAAACGATTAAAGTAGCCTTCAAATTGCATACTTGATAGAAAAGCTATTTTTTACAAAGAATATGTAATTAATTTTCTCCGTATAGCAAAGTTGATTCGCAATGAAACCAGACTTGCCAAATCAAAGACTGGTTATCTACAAGAGAGTGGCTTGGATTTTCTTTTATAATTTGAAAGCACTCATTTCATACCACTTCAATGAACACACAACCTTTATCGCTGTGTTTCCGCCTCTCTCAAATACATGTACAAATATTTACATAAAATATTTATGTAAGTTTCTGTACATGAAAGCGCTTGTGAGAAGGAGAGAGAAAAAAAGAGTGAAAAAAAACGAGAAAGAAATCTAAAGGAACAATTAGGCACAAAATAAGATTCGAAATCGATGAGGGAAAAATGTTAGGGCTTAAAAATTATCTTCTCTTTGGTCAGTTAACGAACTCAAACACTTACGATGTAATGGAAAACCTGGAGCGCAAGTTATAAATAAGTTGATATGTGTGGGTATGTGAGAGGGAAAGAGAGAGACAGACAGACAGAGACAAAATCATGGTTCCAAAGCATCTTAATTTAGACTAAGTACTAAATATGTAATTACTCACAAGCTGAAGAAAATTACATTTTATTTTCATTCAATATCCCTTTACCCGATTTTGGCTTTGGTCAACCAGAACAAAGACGGGATCTCTTTATTTGTTTCTCACTAGACCTCTTTTCTAATTACAATCTCGCCATTGTCCCTCTTATATGGAACCTAAAGAGGGCGGCTTTCCGCTTTTACAAATTTTAACTTTAACCCATAAACTCCAAACCGAGAAAGTAAATTTGGTAATAGATTACATGAGCGTAGAATTTGAAGTAGTCTATTTAAGATGTAGAAGTTGTTTACTGAACGCTATTTACATTATTCGGACTATTGTCCTCATCTTTGTCGCCATATTTATTTCAAATTTTCGACCGATGTATGCTCCGGCATTCTTCAGGCGGTTGGAATGTTGAATTGAACCCTTTATTTCGCTCACTGGGGTAAACTGTTCTAGTCCCGCGTACCATATCTAATGGATGTCAGTTATCAGTTATCTGCTATTAATTCCACTCACCAAGTTCTCCACCGCCTTAACCAGGTATTGAACTCACAATCTTTGGGTCCTGTCACTGGATCTAAATAACGCCTTTATCCACTGTGCCATGTGTCCTTGATGACATATTTTTCTAAATACTGTTTGTTGATATATAAAATTATACAAATATATATATATATATATATATATGTGTGTGTGTGTGTGTGTGTGTGTGTGTGTGTGTGTGTGCGCAGGTATGTAGAAAAATAGGAAAGAACACGTTTGGTAAATAATCCAGAGTTCTTTAGTATTTTTGTTTTTATTTAAAAAAAAAAAAGTGCTCCATACAGAAGTAGAGGTTAGATTATAATTATTTTAAAAAAATATGATTCCTTCGCTACATAAGAGTTCTCATGTTTCAAAAACGAGTGCCGAAACCATCAATATAATTATTAAAATTAAATTGAATTAAAGTAACAAGCCCTGTTTCATACTCAAGCGAAAATTCAGCAGTCAGGAGCTTCCTGAATTTTCGCTTGAGGATGAAACAGGGCTTGTTAATTTAATTCAATTTAATTTTAATAATTATATTGAGGGTTTCGGCTCACATTTGTGAAACATGAGAACTCTTATGTAGCGAAGGAATCATATTTTTTAAAAATAATTATATATATATATATATAAAGAAAGAATGTGGTTTGTATGGGTCAGTAATTGTGGCTAGAAGTTTAAGGTAAGACAGATTGAAAATCAGCTTTCCCCTATCCCCTTTTGACCTTGCGCCACATTTTTGCATTCACAAAATAAATATTACTTTCCTTTTTAGTACCTAGACTTTATTAATTTAAGCGTAGTACTATATTGGCGCACTTGGTGTAATCGTAAGTTCTGTGCTAACAGTTTCTTCCATTGCACTTCTCACCTGTGGAACTCTCTTTAGGTTTCTTGCTTTCCATTCAAGTTTGATCTTCAAAACTTTATATGCAATGTCAATCGTTATCTCCTGTCGTCTTAATTCCGGTTCTTGTACTGTTCTCCCTCCTTAATAGTGTTTTTTTCTCATATCCTCTAAGTAATTCTATGGCGTCTTAGTGTTTTATTGCCTTGTTTAGTGTGAAATGATTAAAAAGGAAGTCTGCCACAGAAATTCCTGAATGAGAAACGGCTGCTTGTGATCGAACCAAGTAAAAACTTACAATTCATAAAGACACGAAGATTCAATGATTTGGCCAAATATCAAGCATGCAATTAGAATAGAGGAAATCATTAATCTATCAATTTACATGTGAATATGTTCCTCTAATGTAGAGATTGTTAGCCATCACAAGAGTCATATTGAGAGAGAGAGAGAGAGCGATAAAGAAGGATAGGGAAAGAGAAAGAGTGAGAGAGAAAGAGAGAGAGACAAATAAAAGAAGAAAGAGAAAGTAAGAGAGAGTGAATGAAAGAGACAAAGAATGAGGAGATATGAGAGAGAAAGAAAGAGAAATAATAAGAAAGAAAGAAAGAAAGAAAGAAAGAAAGAAAGAAAGAAAGAAAGAAAGAAAGAAAAGGTCAGGAGGAGATAGAAAGAAAGAGAAAGAATAAGAAAGAAAAAAGAAAGAAAGAGTGATAAGAGATGTGACGTGTTTTCTTTATTAATCGTTAATTAAAAAGAATTATAGAAAACATGACTCCAAGATTTACAAATAAAAATTTCGCTATAAATCATTTTGGCTTACTTTCATAACAAAACAACGGGACATTCTTAATGATAAAAGAGGAAACTGAAAAATAGTGTTTCTATGGCAACTGAAGTAGCATGACGTCACTGTATTTTTTTTTTTGTTTTTTCAGTTGATTTTTTATAAGAATTTTCTCTTTCGTTTCAAATTGATTGATCATTTTCTATATTCTGATCCAGGTAGTCTTTTTTTCTCGCTTTCATATTTTTCATTTGCTTTATTCATTTTATAATGTAGTTTATTTCTATTATAGACCCATTAATCATCGTTGTTTGCTTTTTTTTCTTTGTTGATATTTCGAGGACCTTTGTATCAACATATAAATGTTTATTGTATATCTATTAGCGTACTCTGTCACCTCTGTTTATTTATCTATATATGTAAATATAAACACTCGTATACACACACACACGCACATATATATTCATACGTATGTGTGTGCGCGTATATTTCCTAGTATGTCTTTATGTGCGCCTGTACATGTGTGTATGATGTAAAATTTAAATGGAAAAATAAAACAATATAGATATATTTATCTTTGAAAGAATATGATTTTATGCATTTGTTTCCAATAGTATTAATTAAAAAAAATTACTTCTATCTGAATTATTTACTCTATTTATAGCCTCATCTTTTTGTACCCTCTGACCTTCCTCGGGTATATATCGATCTGGGTAACCTACAGGGGATTCTGAAGGAAAATACGCTAATTTAAATTCCTTTATTTAATCTACTTCAGTAAACGGTTCTCCTTTCACTGTCCATCTCTGAGGATATCTCGTCTCGTCTTTATTTTTTTTTTTTTTTTTGCTACTGCTCCGTTATTGCTCGCCCGTTTCCACTGAGTTCAAGTATACACTGTCCAGCCCAACGATTGAACTCACAATTCACCAAAGTGAAGTTGTCCAGTTCGTTATAAAGCTTATGAAGGCCGGAGGACACAACAACAGAAAAGTTGTGATAAAAACAACAAATAGTCAGTAAATAGAATAGAAACAGTGTAAATATTTATGTATTTATGTAAAAATTTATGTAAAGATTTTTCCCATTAAAAGTTAAATATAAAAAGAGAAAACAAAACAACGAAATAAAAGAAATACATATTTAATAATAGAAAAAAAGAACATATTCAATGTACAAATTTATAAGGCAACCAAAAAATCCTTGACGAGGTGATCAATGATACGCAAATGAATGCATCATGTGGCAGGAAGGCGTTTACACGTGATGCATTTAGGGATACTATATGGCGACTTGACTGTGAGACACTGTGCCATCCACCTTGCGTCAACAGATTATCACCTCTTCCATTTCTTCGTGGGAAATCCTTCGCAAATTAAATAGACTTGGCGGCAAGCAATCTCAAACTTCTTTTGCGTTGGCAAAAGGTTCTTGTTACCGACAATGATTACTTTGCGGACTAATGGTATGTCAAATTTGCATTATACTTATTTTTCTAATAAATAAATAAGAGCAAGAACTATTTTGGGCTACCTTTTACATGTCAGCTAAATACAAAACTATGTGATGCTCTTATATCCTGCAGAGTATATTTTAAGCAAGTCAGTGTTTAACAATATTTACTGACAAGAGAATTCATGAAGGACGCCAATTAGTTGTGTAATGGTCAAAAATCCAAACTAGATGCTCCATAGTTTAGGCGAAAAGTAAACTACGCTTAGTAAATTGCCACAAAAGAATTAAGAAACCAGCTTCAGAATAGTTTCATAGAAAATAAATGACTCAATGTGTCTACTAATGATTGGTAGGCATAGTTACTGACGATGTATTTTGCAAAGAGGAAAGATGATAAGCATTTCTGAAAACAAGTGGGAAAGTGGTATACGTACATCAAAGCAAGTTTCAAAGCAATACGAAAAGCTGCTATGTGGATAAGACAAGATCTTGAGAATCTAGAAAAGCGATCTATAAATGGTCTACATAAGTACATTCATTAAATTTCGATGTGTTTGAAAAATATTGAAAATAGACAGGGCCATTCTAAAATATCGCTTAAAGTAGTTGGAACCCAATGAATGCCACACACACACTTCTTTGAGAATAGCTGAGAACGCGAAAGAATATCATTATTGGATCATGGAGAACCTGGGTCTAATATGATATGGAGTAACGAATATAAATTTAATATTTTTGGTTTGATTATTAGTGATACATTACAAGAGTTTTAATAAAAATACTACACCTAATTAGAGTTTTATGTCTAGAAATGATGTTGGCGCGTTGTGTCGAATTAACAGAATTATGAATAGTAAGTATGGTCTAGAAAGACTAAATGATATTATGCAATCATACAGCCGTTTATGTTGGGTCATGTGTTTTTCAGTAGGACATCAACCTAAACTGAATGACCACACTAATCATTGAAGACACTGACATCGAGGCGCTGTGAACTATAACCCCATCAAAAGCTTATGACAACGCGTAAAAAACAAATGTCTAACATAATAATGCTATAAACACAATTATATGCTTGAGTATTAGGGAAATCCCATTGGAAACATTAGGCCTCTAATTGCATCGATACGATGTTCCATAAAAACGAAGACGTATTGAAGAAATTGTTTGTTCTTCTATATGTTAGCCATTATTCATTCATTTACTTTGTTTGGGCATAAAAATGGCAGATAATTGGAGCGCTCCGAAACTGACATATTAACAGTAAGACTTAGGTTTTACATATTTTCAAAGAAACAAAAAATCCTCAAAAACCTTCGTCTCTGAAAGATAGATTTAATCATATTCTAATGTCGAATCATCAAAGGAAGAACTACATCACACATTCACACGAGCCATAGGTGATCGCATGAAATGGAAACTTAATGAATGCGCTACAAATATAGCAAATATTTTTATGAATGTCTGTAAGCTTCGTTCCATCAATTATTACAGTATTTGAGTATGTAAGAGTTACATATTTGAAGTTTCAACGATCTCTAAATGAACACCTCGGGGATTTTATATTACAAAATGATTATATATATTACGTTTAGGATTTATTCTAGTTTTCCAACTGAAGTTATTTATCAGATATAGATAGGTATTAAACGTTTATCAGAGCAAGAGATCCAAGTTATGAAAACTGTTTCTTTTGTATGTTTCTTTTCGTTGTCTTAATTAACATTTTTAAACCAAAACAAGGAAAGTACAACGTGCACAATATTCTAGAAGAAAAGAATTAATGAAGGGCATCTATTAAAAATGCAAATGTCAGAGAGCCGAACTTGTCGATAATTAATAGTGATCACGGAGTTAGATTCTTACTAGTTGCCCCCATACTCGTAGCTTTGTATCAAAATTAAGCTACACTTATGTCACACTAAACTAGAAAAGTGCGTAAAATTAACCAATCACTTATCTTCTGATGCTAAGGTTCTTCCTAGAGATAAGACATAAACACTATGTCAGTGATCGAACCGTTAAAATACTAATACTAAGTTAAATAGGTTGCAGATAGAAACGCCACACACGAGAATCACTTCGAAATTAATACCTACTTGGAAGAGTCGATCAATATGTAAATAATTTCGGTCGTTTTTTTTACGGGTCGTATACTCAAAGAACATTTTATATTCTGTAGGAAATGTGTCATTCAGAAAAAGAGACTATATAGCAAAAGTTGTGAATAGCTGCAAATAACTCTATTTTATGTCATAAAAGCATTGAAATAATGTCTAATCATTTGAATCTTTGAGAAAAATAGGCATTTCTTAAGTTTATCCAAGCTGAAAATGCAGGTCCCTCGATTAGTGCAGAAATCATTCTTATTGACTTTCAGAAGCACTTTGCTGCTATCAGTAATTACTTCAGTATGAAAATCATTTGAATAGTTGTTCATGATTGTACAAATGAGTCTCTATAATGTCAGGATGTGTTGTCAGAATTTTCCTGACTTCTTTTAATTATGGCAATGTCAGGCAAAATTACTTATTAAATCGATTGCATAACTTGGCTTCCATATTTACGCCACCTGATTTAAGACAAAGCTTTTAAAACAAAATTATACGCATATTTAACGTCAATCCTCATCTTGACAATGCAATTATCAACAGTCCTTATTAACATTTTTCTCAATATCTTTCTCGTCTAACAATCAAATTGTCTTTCGCTAATTCCAGAACACCAAACCGAAAAGGTGATTATTCTAGATTTGCTAGGAAATATAATATACTGTGAAGTTCTTGCTGACATTTTTTAATATCCAATATACAATAAGTCAGATTTTACAAGCGCACAAATGAAAGGAACACTAATGATAAGAATGGAAACTGAACTCGAACTTTAAAAGGTAATAATATTATTTTACCTCTGAAGAAAGTCCAAAACTCCAAAACTTTGCTTATCGAGCAAACTTTGTCTACCGTTAGATTACAAAACATAGTAAAATGGCGAAATGTTTCATTTATCCTTTGTTTATACATACATGCATCGACTTCAACTAAAACATTTAGCAGTTGTCTGTGAATACAAGGAATACATCATTGTATGGGAAAGAGTAGACACGAATGAAAATTCTAATTCTATGGACTGAGTTTTTTTATACATTTAATTAACCAAGATCTGGAATTCAGCAACTTCGTCAAAACAAGTCTGAGAAATTAATTGCTGTGGAACCAAAAATAATTTGGAACACCTTTAAATACATCGGAATATCATTAAACTTATACATAGCATCAGTCACGCTCCTCTTCTATCTCAGTGAAGCAGAACGAGACAAAGGACCAGGTAACATTAGTTTTATGCTTTATGAAAGTCCATGAACTCCAATTAAGTATTTAAGTTGGGCAGAAAAAATATCAAAAAGTTTCCTTGAATTCATTACATAGTCGGAAATCTCTCTCTAAACAAACTCTTCGAGCCGCTGTGGAAGTAATGCGCTTTTCGATCCCACTCAAGCCTAAACATTTCCGATTCGTTTATTTAATTTCAAATTTAGAAAAGTAGAAATGATAGAATGTGACGTGAGTCATTTGGCTTAATGAAAACTCTTTGATTAGATTAAACGGAAATTATGCCAAGTGAATACCTGATACAAATGAAAAATTAGGAAGAAGTTACTGTTTTAATGATTTTTTGCTTTGTTTTTCTTTATATTCAATTTCGATCACTGGAATCGCATTTTTCCTTGGACCACACCTATCACATTTTTATTGATTGATAAATTTAATTCTTTACCTATCAATGAATCATTCTTTATAGAACCATTGCATTCTTTATTGATGCAGTTACATATCTAGCCTAACAATCTATTTTAGTTTTGCTTTTAATTTCTCTCCTTTTTATCATTCTCAATGTTTTCGGCATCTTCATTAGGACGCAGAAGATATTTGTTTCCATATTTGATTATTTCGATTATTTTGAACATATTTAACTCATTTTAACTCCTTTATCTCTCATTTTCTTTTACTGTCTTTCTCAGATTTCTAATTCTATGTGTTTTTGGCCTTAGACTTCTTACTTTCCTGTCATGAGATCTTGAAAAATTTAAATGCAATGTCAATTGTTATCTTTTGAGGACATGAGCGATGAGTTTGTGGATATAAAATTCTAGCTAGAGGTAAGTGTGTCGGTATACATGCTACACATAAACAATTCACAACGGACATGTTAATATTTTCTGGATTTTTCTGCTCCATACTCTAGATGCAGTGCAATCTACCATTGCTACACTTACAATGATCTTGGTGAGCGTCTTTGGCCGTCCAGGGTCTGTTCTTAGAATGTATGACGACGACATAAGATCCACAAAATGAGAAGAATATCTATGAGAAAAATAAGTGTTGAAAAAAGCACAGGTTGATGACATTATATTGACGTTGATAGCTGTGAAGAATAAACTGAGCTGCATATTGCCGTCCACAGGTTGGACACTGATTGCCGACACCTGGTGGCAGTGGCCCATGCCCCAGGTAATCATGACTAAATTCGATTAAATTCCTGGCCTTGTGTTCGGCTAGTTTCAAATTTTTCAGTGGCCTGAAAAAATCCAACACCATGAATGCGTGTAGCGTCCACATCCAGAGGGTTTAGCCCTCGCCAAATTCTTCAGACAGTGAATCTTCATATGCAAATTGGGTCTCACAAAGAGCAGTGATGTCAATATTATACTGTGTAAACTCAGTTGCTATGAGTGCCGTTTATCGTCGATGAAGGTAACTAGGAGAATTGGTGTCCTGGAGGCTTCGAATGTTCCATGTGTCTAGTGGTTATATTGCTACATATTGTATTGACAGTTTTCAAATTTTCGACCTTAAGATGATATGTACTGACGTTTGTATTATCACGTCCAGAAAGAATTTGGCGTGCAAATTTTAGGCCCCTCCTCTGTGTTGAGCTGCCTAGTCACGCAGAGTGCTACCTCAGACGCCCAGCCACATTCGTTGATGCCTGCGAACATCAACACTGCCCCACCAGACTAGAAACTCCCAACAACATCCAATACCTACCCGCGTCACGTGTCATACTGTCGCTGTGGGACTCTGAAGTTTTTAAAGAAGAAAAAAGATTATGGTGAGTAGGAGGTTGCGCAGACCGTCATCCTCAGCAATTTGACTCTGGAGGATCAATTTCCAGTGGCAAGGCGGGTCCGAGACGACCAGTGGTTCAAAAGTTCTGCAATACCAAGAGGTAGAGGTTTCTTTCTTCCAGAGGAGAATCCAACCAAGGCTGCAGGATACTATAGTCAAGGATTGAAGTCTTCTCGAAAACATGTCTTTTCGCCTAAAGGTACGTGGTCCAATAAAAGAGAAGCTGTGCATTACGCGTCACTCAATGAGGGGTGCTATCACTCTACAACTTAAGAACGTTGAAATGTTTTGAATACTACAGAGCTCAATCCAAACAATCCACCCGCAAGCCCTGTGCATACGTGCACGACAGTATTGTGGCGTAAAGTAGAAGCCTATGTATTCTAAGTCCTGTTGCAAGTAAATTATTTTAGCGATTCATGTTGTCGCTCATGCGGTCAAATTTGTTCTGATTTGTTGCTTTGAGCGCTGTCACTGTTACCTTAATCGAAACACATGGGAGTTGGCAAAATTTTTCCATTGGCACAAAGCCCGGGTCCGATGTTCAAATGTTCACTGAAAACTATTTCAGCGATTAACATGAGTACGCTGTTTGGACTATAACTCCACAAACCCCGTACAGCACAAATAACGATTTACTCTCTCTCTCTCTCTCTCTCTCTCTCTCTCTCTCTCACACACACACACACACACGCACACACACGCACACGTTTAAACCCTTTCTTTCACTTTTTCTCACATTTTTCCTATTTCACTCACACGCCATTTTCATTTCTTTCTTTCGCTTTCTTGATACCATTCACTCTTCTGCTCACTCACTTTCGCCCTTTATCTTTCTGTCACTACCACTCTCTTTCTCGCTCTCTCTTTGAAAAAAAAACGTCTCAGACATGCTGACCTTAGGATTAAGCATAGTTTTGAAACAATTATCTCCACCACTAACGGAAGGCGCCCCAGCAATGCCTCATAATGCCACCAGAATTTATTGATTCTCGACTACAGCGAGAGAGAGAGAATGTCATAACCATATCTTCAAAGTTTTTCTTCCTTCAATCTGGATATCCCACATTTCGATATGAAATATAATTTATATCTCGTTGGCACCGCATCATCCTCTCTCCCTATCCCCTTTCTCCCCGACCCCTGGTGGCGGTGATGGCTGTGAAGAACCAGCCTAATCCTGAAGAGTCGTGGACAGGATTCCATGGGGAGTGTGGATGGTGGACGTGGCTAGGCGAGTTGAGCCCACCTGGCAGCAGGTCCAAGATCCTTTTTATGTTGACGCTTGGCCTCGAAAGTCTTGCAACCCACCTCGAATGGACTTACACCAGAAAGGCAGATTTGAATCAGCTGTTTCCCAGGTCTCGGTCAAGGATGTCATCAGCAGATCTATAAAACGTTGTTTTAGGCCTTAGAGCTGCCTCTCGCCGCTGTTGTGTTCTCCAAACAGAATGATACATGGAAGTCGAGTGGGACGCATTCTAGACGTGTAACTCGTCCAGCAGAGACGAAGCTGAAGGATGCTAACATTGGGGCTCGGGGAAGGGAGTCTAAAAGAGGAACTCGTTGTTGGTAATGCTGCCATCCCAACTGATTAGAAGGATTCTTTCCAGCTTCGTTTGCTGGAACTGCTACAGACGTTTGATGTCCTGTCGGTACAAAACCCATGTCTCACAAAATCAGTATCTAATGCATTCTAATTGCATATCTTCATATTCTTCCACATACCGTTCAGGAGCCTAGTCACAATCTTACAAATAAAGGAAATGCAAAATCAATGATTTGATTCTATTTTGAATTAATCAAATGAATGATTAGGACGATTAAAAATTTTCGACTGGAAAAATGAAACAAAGTTCTTAATCTACGGAGATTCTCTAGGCTGTTATTGTAAAAAAAATAATGTTTCGTTTCTTTATAGAATTTATCTTTATCGTCATGGCTATTGAAAGCAGACTTTTTAACCTCAGGTATGAACTCTACTATTTAATTGTGTTTCCGTTTGTATAATGTTCGAGAATATTCGCAACTAGTGAGAATGTGCTTAAACTGAGAGTTTTCCCATATCCTTCAGTCAGATCTTAATGACTTCTACAACTTAAATAGTTTGTCACCATATTTCTTGAAAAATAGGTATTTCCAACAATATCTTTTCAAATTTTATTGATAAAATAATTAATTTCAGTAGTATTTATTCTTATTAGATGAAGAATTGTTACTAACTTAACTAATACTGACTAGCATTTGCTTTTATGGTTCATTTGTTTTTTTATCAGAAAATAAAATCGCTTTAAAATGATAACTAAAATAAACGCAATAATAGTTTGTGTATTACAAACAAGAAATCAAACACCATCATTTATATTTGACAATGAGAACTTTCACCATCAGAGACTAAGTCTATCATCACGATATTCCAGAAATGGTGCTTGTATGTTCTCATCCCCACCCACGTTCGTGGGTGTGACACGGGGTCATATTTAATGTGAAGTGCCCATACGCGTACATATGTATCAGCAATGGCGATTAGTAAGAGTAGCAGTGATAAAAGCTCTTAAGAGTTCTTACATCGACAGATTACTTGCTTCCCCTAAACTCTTCCTTGATAAACTGCTGTATTTATTGGCTAACTGAAGAGTTCTTTCAAGAGATTTTTGACTGCAAATAAGGCTACGTTTGCATGGAAACATTTAGTAGAAAGAAACATTTTCATTCTGCATCATTCGCCATACTGTCGTCCATATTGTATAAGGCCATTTCCAATGTCATTGCGAAAAGTAATGGCAGAATTACGCATATGATATCCAATTATTGTCATATAATGGCATATTCTGTATTCAGTCTCGTACATTTACATTTGATGTACGCTAATATCAGACTTCTGGCGGCTTTTAGAATCCTGAAATTTTATAGTTTTTTTCTCGCAGACCATTCTCCATTAAACCATAGGCATTTTCAAGGTTCAATATCATCAAGGGAAACTCAGCTGTTTTTTGTTTTTTAAAAGCGCCCCTAAAGTGTTACCTCAATTCCAAATTTCTGAAGTGATGAGTTAATGTGTTGCTCAACAAGTATTTAGCCAGCCTTCTAGTAAAAACAAATTTTAGATCTCAAATTGAGCAGTTAGTATTATAGAAACCTATTTAAGTATTTGGAGTCATATATATATATATATATATATATATATATGTGTGTGTGTGTGTGTGTGTGTGTGTGTGTGTGTGTGTGTGTGTGTGTGTGTGTGTGTGTGTAACAGAACGATGTTAGGTGATTGAATAGTAACAGGCTCGTTAATGCGAAATGCGAAAAAGAGCTCATCAAATATTAAAAAATAAATGAAAGATACAACAATTAAATAATCGAAAAATATTACACTAGCTTCCAACTATCACAGCTATAATTAAAATGAATTTATCTAAGCTTAAGATAAAAAATTTTACATTTCTTCTAAAATAGTAAGGGACTTAATACAAAATAATATAAAAGAGACGTAAAAAGATATTTACTCATCAGCCTATAATGAGTAGAACTCTCGAGGAATTTAATATAATAACATAATATAAGATCCCAAATGATATTTTATCAAACACTCAATGATTAACCGCTCACCCTAATGAATGACCATAATTTCGGTTTGGAAATAGAAAGCAATTGCTAAAACGAAAAGGTCTAGAAATTGTACTGGCTGCCAAATCATCCACAGTATTTTTTCCAGGTTCTTACAATATTTCACCTTTCTTGGCACATCAGTTAAGATAAGGTGGGAGCCTAAAACCAAAAACGATAAGAGCAAAAGCGTAGGAAAACTGGAGGAGATCGGTTTCATTATGTGTCCAGACACGTTTGAGAAAGAAAAAAAACAAATTTAAAACTAAAAATATAAACATTTTAAATACAGCGTTTCCACATTTTTAGTGTTTCCCTTCGGTACATAATAATCGACGCACAAGTTTATATTTTCCACTTCCACACATATAATTTCATCATTAAAGCATTACTTTTGTTCGATAAAGTCATATATGATGAAGTCTTCAACTATTTTCGAAACTTTCTATTTTTAGACAATCTTTGTAAAAATATTTTTACATCTGTTACCCCAGAAGACACAAAGGAAACTGCAAGAACTTCTACAGGAAACGAAAAAAAAGGACTAAACATCAATTGCAAGAATACAAAATGTATGATTGTCAGCAAAATGGACAACCCAACATATAAATTACAAACTGGAGATACCAAAATCAACTAAGTAAAACAAATTAAATATCTAGAAAGTGTTTAACAAAGGACGGTAAGTGTGACACCTAAATCCGAAGACGAATTGGAACAGAGAATGATGCCTTCCAAAAGCTATTAATAAATAGGAAAAATTCGTTAGAAACAAAGAAAAGAATACTGAGCTTTTATGTAATATCGGTCCTCCCATATGGCAGTGAATGCGGAACAATCTCATCACAGATGAAGAAGAGACTTGATACAATAGAAATCTGGTTCTACAGAAAGATGCTGAGAATAATATGGACCGAATATGTGAGCAACGACGAAGTTTTAAAGAAAATGTAAACAAAAATGACACTTATACATAATATCAGAAAGACATGATTTCTAAGGCACATAATGAGGAAAAAAAGTCTTAGACAATTTGCCACTCACAAGACATATTGAAGGCGAGAGGGGCGGAGGAAACAGCGCATCATCCACCTAACGAACTTACATAAAAAAGATGGCAGAACAGGGATAAGAAGGGAGAAAATTTCATAAAAGCTACAAAAATGGTGGAGAGCCATATGAAATTTTGAGAAATTCTTTTCTGTATCGTTTAATGTTTATATTCGTTATAAGGACAGTTCTTCGGAGAATTTAAATCATCGATTTTTGTTATCGAACAAAACAATGCAATAAAACTAAGACATTATTTAATAAGAAAAGCTTTTATGAATAAAATATATTACGGACACGACTGTCTTGAGAAAAATATTTTTATGAATAATGAATTTTTACAAGAATTGTTTTCATTTTATTTAATTTTAATTAAAATAATTTATAAAGTGTTAAGTCTTTTCAAATTCTGCATTTACTTGTAGCTGTCAAGTGACATTGTTATTAAATTAAAACTATATTTACTAACCCTAACCCTAACCCTAACTGGAAAAGCTCACTACAATTCAATGATCCCCTCGCCCATATTTTAAACAGGATTTTGGTGTGCATAAACATGTCAGTTTTTGTAAATACGGACGTCTATACACGACACAACATTATCAGGAAATAAGAGCGGTAACTATAGAAACTTTAAAATTTATTAAGAAAAGTTTTTGTAAAAAACCAAAGTAACTAAAATTCAATAAAATATTATCATGCTTCAAATATTAGTATGCTTCAAATATTAGCATGCTTCAAGTATGTGGCACCTTGCATTATTAGAAATATTCATAGAAATATGATTTAATTTTTTCTTACTCGGTTACTAAACAGGTTGTTTATTTTTTTTTTAAAACGGAAAATAACTGAGTTGAAAATAACTCACTAAGATTGTACTAGACGATCTTAAGGGAAGAAGAAGGAAAGAAAAGAAAAAAAGAAAGAAAGAAGAAGAGAAAAAAGAGTTGTATGATGCATGACCCAATTGAGGGTGGAGATAGGAGTCAGAAAGAGATTTAGGTCAGCGTCTTGGCCAATTTTCGAAAGACAATTGGAAGAATAGAATTATAAATAATAAGAAGAAAGAAAGGGAAAAAAAGACATGATATCAAAACGGGCCGCTGATGTAGACCAGATATCGTCAAAGCATCTGACCGACTTTTGCGTGGAGAGACTCCTTATCAATTTGGTTTAGAACAATAGAAATGAAATTTTTAATCAGAGAAAAGTGTTTTTGGGTTGAGGGAGTTACCGGTGGAACGATATACAGATCTTGACCTGTTAAGAATTGGACACCCACGTTAATAAAGTAGAGACATTTCAATGTAGATAATTAAGATTTTCGACTATCAGGAAAAAACAAAGAGGTAAAAAAGAGGGACAATTGCTTTTGGCTCACAGAGGGCGCCAAGAAGGCGGAAAAGATCCTTTCTAAAGTCAAGACTAATTAGCAGCGGGCTGTTTGACAAAGTCCAGGTGAGAGAAAGCCAAAGATTGTCATTTTGCGTACGTGCAAAAAGGAAAAATTGGATTTTGTTTTTTTTAAACAAGAACGATGTAACCACGCCCGCAAACAAAGGGGAGAGGATGTTCGATCAATAACAATTGGTCGAATACGATCACGTGACCTGCGGAAGAAAAGGGAAAGAAATGTTCGACCAATAACAATTGGTCGAATATACGATCACGTGACTTGCGGAAGAAAAGGAAAGAAATGCTCGATCAGGAACGATTGGTTGAAAAGCGGTCACCTGACATACGAGAGACTAAGAGATAGATATGCGCCGCCCCACCAAAGGTACTGCGAGGAAGTAGGGGCGAAAACAATAGCGATAATGGAGAAGACAGAATTAATGCAGTTTTTGGAATTATCGAGAAAACCCTGACGCCGACAGACCCACCCCAGTTTGTTGCGGCGTCAATATAAGCAGGACCCCAGTCGACAGAAATCAGTAGAGTTGGAGTTGGAGTTGCAGTTGGAGTTGAGAGTTGGACCGCGGGCAGGGATAGAGCCTGAACGCGGCCATCAG